AAAAAACTGCATCGACTTGCAAACTTTAGAATATTGAACGAAAAAAAAACACTAGATTTACATAAACGCGCACAATACATCAAAAAACAAATATAGTGAAAATACACCAAAATACGCAACAAAAATAGACCAATTATACAATAAGCGTGGCGCGCGACAGAAAGTTTTTGAAAATAAAAGCCAGCAGAGTAGACCATTACCGCTGTCGATATAGTGTAAGAGTCGTTCTATAAATACAGTCTCTATTTTTCTATTTGCTACGTTTTTATATAACAGCACTGTATTATTGCGCGAACTTATCTTGGCTGTAATACCACATTGCTTCTTTCCAATTTATTGTTTGACCATCACAACACAAAACGTTTCACATTCTATTCTATTTTCTTTTATACTAAAAAAAAAAAAAAAAACAATCAAACGTAGTTCAAAATTTGCAACAAAGAATTTGCGCGCAAGAGAGGAAATTTGAAAAAAAAAATCAACAACATTCGTGGGAAAGATTTTTCCTTTGATTTGCTGTTTGATCATCGATTAAGGGAGCGACGATCGCGTGTCGAGAAATTAAAGAAGACACAAAAGTTTTAAGCGTATTATGCGAGCGCCGTGTCAAAACCGAGCTCGAGAGTATCATAGTTATTGAAAATGCTGGCGTTTAAGCGTTTACGTGTAAGTGTGCGCTCGCTCGTGCAAGTTTGCGCGCGCGTGTGTGCGTAGGGTGGGAGAGATGAGACCTATTGAGTTAACTATCCTCGTCCTCGGGATCAGGGAGCAGCACGTTAGGAAGTTATAAGTCTTTAAACTTTAATTTTAACTTGAACTCGACGGTGCTAAAGTTGGTTTAGTTTTACCTTACTTATACTTCTCTCCGCGGTCAGGACCTGGAGTTTTAAGAAGCTTCAAGATTCCACGATAAACCTCCCTCTCACCCTCTCCCCCCCCCCCGAATGCTTTACATTATGAAGGAAGGAAGAATTTTTCGGTATGTGAATTGTTTCGTTTGTGTTGCTCGTGACGTTCAAAATAACACGTACATTCGACACACGATGAGCTATTTTCTATCTCGTGTATCTTCGTGAATTCTCGTGTACCCTTGTAGGAATTGACGAACGGCCCAGTATTGGGTCAATATCGGCAAACGAGGCTCGATATTGGTACGACAGTAGTAGCCAGTACTGGGCGAATATGCTTAATGATTAGATCGAGCCAACGCTGGCTCTTAAGCTTGGCACGATACTTACTTCCGAGATTGGTCAGATATGGATTTCAAGTATTGGCACAATGTTGCAATTTTATACTAACAAGACAATCTTAGCCAACACTGGCTAAATATTCTTAGTGGTCAGATAGGCCTAAGATCAGTAACTTATATGACGCCAA